AGCCACATGCAAAAGAATGAAAGTAGACCATTATCTTACACATACACAAAAATTAACTCAAAATGGATTAAAGACTTGAATCTAAGCCCTGAAACCATAAACCTCCTAGAAGAAAATATAGGCAGTACACTCTGACATCAGTCTTAGCATCATCTTTTCAAACTCCATGTCTCCTCAGGCAAGGGAAACAAAAAAAAATAAACAAATGGGACTACATCAAACTAAAAAGCTTCTGCAAGGCAAAGAAAACTATGAATAAAACGAAAAGACAAACCACCAACTGGGAGAAAATATTTGCAAATCATATATCCAACAAGGGGTTAATTTCAAAAATATATAAAGAACCCATATAGCTCAACAACAAAAAGACAAACAACCCAATCAAAAAATGGGCGGAGGATATGAACAGACATTTTTGCAAAGAAGATATACAGATGGCCAACAGGCATATGAAAAGATGTTCAACATCACTAATTATGAGGGAAATGCAAATCAAAACTACAATGAGATATCACCTCACACCCATCAGAATGACTCTAAGTAACAAGACAAAAATAACAAATGTTGGAGAGGATGTGGAGAAAAGAGAACCCTCATACACTGCTGGTCGGAATGCAAACTGGTACAGCCACTATGGAAAACAGTTTGGAGATTCCTCAAAAAATTAAAAATAGAAACACCATACGATCCAGCTATTCCACTCCTGAGTATTTATCCAAAGAACATGAAATCAACAATTGAAAGAGATCTATGCACCCCTATGTTCACTGCAGCATTATTCACAATAGCCAAGACCTGGAAGCAACCCAAGTGCCCATCAACGGATGAATAGATAAAGAAGATGTGGTGTATATACACACACACATAATGGAATACTACTCGGCCATTAAAAAAGACAAAATTCTCCCATTTGCAACAACATGGACGGACCTGGAGGGTATGATGTTAAGCAAAATGAGCCAGACTAAGACAAACACTGTATGATTTCACTCATATGTGGAAGACTAACAAACATGTGGATAAAGAGAACAGATTAGTGGTTACTAGAGGGGAAGAGGGTGAGGGAGTGGGCGAAAGGGGTAAAGGGGCACATATGTATGGTGATGGATAAAAACTAGACTATTGGTGGTGAGCACAATGCAGTCTATACAGAAACTGATATATAATAACGTAGACCTGAAATTACACAATGTTATAAATCAATATGACCTCAATAATATGAAAAATAAATTTTAAAAAGTAACGTTTCAAATTCATTTATTTGAACAAATAATGAATATCAAGAAAAACAATACAATCCCCAACACACAGTCCCAACCAGGACTCTTCACGGGTTAGGTCATTTAACTCGGATAAAAGGGCCTGTTTCAAACTGGCTAACTTAAGGATATAATACTAAGAATAAGAATTGATCACATCTACCGAAAAGGCTCATGTTGAAACTAGGACTGAGAATTCCAACATGACCAGGTCAGGTTTCATTTCCAGAGTACAAGACATGATAGGAAATACAGACTCAAGGAACATGATCTGTATTTTGGAAAGAGAGACATAACGTATATGGACTGGGACACAGCACTCATCCTATGTCATGAAGAGCAGTTGTAATTTGTCCACATGTAACCCAACGGATACAGAAGAAACAAGCTGGAAAAGGATTCAAAGGTTGTTCAGATGATAAAGAGATTTACAGAATACTTAACAGACCCTTGATGTTATTACATTTCTGCAGCAAAATAAACATTCTGGAGAATGAAAGGACCAGAAGACTAAAGAAACCCCTTTAATGTCCAGCTACTGGCACTTACCACTTGTGCTGCTTTTGAGAACGATACTGTAGTCAACGCGGGACTATGTGTGATACCAAGAGAGTTATGGTACTATAATCCAAAATGCAAATGATGCAAAAATCATTTCTACTACAGACATGTGGCATTGGCAGGAGGGACCACAGTGCCATGTGCAGATGAGGATACTGCAGCCACAGTGCGTTGAAAGACTTGCCCACACTCCCACATGGAGCTGGTTAATTCTCAGGCCGGAACTAGAACCCATACGATCTCATTCCCAACCCCCCTACTTCTGCCTCCCTTCTGGCTCCAAAATGTGTTCACTATACACATGTCTGTTGTTCTAATGAGTCCCTTCAAATAGAAGCGGAGTTCAAGCTCAGATCTGCCTGCGGAGGGGGCAGGGGCAGCTGCCTGGGTCCGGAGTCTCCTCCCCAGGGCAGTCTACATGGGCTGCAGCCTCCCCCACTTCTCCCAGAGCAGGAGAGGGCGCGAAAGAGGTGGTTGCCAGAGGGCTTCTCAGCACCAAACACTAACAGGGAGAAAGCATTCCATAGCAGAGCTGTGATCACACAGAGCAGTAGCTCTCCGCTGAAGACTGAAGGAGCAGGATCTGGCAAATGAGACGTGTAATCAACCAAAATGCAGATCTACATCCAGGTCACGGAAGAGACTTTGTCGCAATATCCCTAATGCCCATTAAAATATCTAAGATCCAAACCTCAGCGTGGTTAAGAGAAAAACAACCCTCTCTCAGCTAAGCCCACCTACTGTTTGCAGCCTCGGCACACAGGACGATGGGTATCTGAGAACCAGAGCCAGCACGTCTGCTCCAGGAGCTGGGCCTTGCTTTCCCTGAGTCAGATTTCTAAAGGTTATGGGATGGGACAGACAGGGACTCTCTGTGCTTCCCACCCCCAGACCCCATAGAGTTTTCACTCAAGATTCAAGACACTTACATTCTCTCAGTTTTGCTTTCCATACAATTTCCTCAGAATCCATTTCAACCAAAAGCAATTTAAACTCCACTGGTTGCTCCAAATACACTTCAATATAACTTTTCAATTTTAAAAGTGAACCATCAACAAATTCAATTTCCTTTAAAAAAGAAAACAGTGCATTAATTGACGACATAAAACGTCAAATAAGGAATAACAGCAGGGTGAGTGCCTACTCGGATGCTCCCTGACACCCGGGAACTCACCCTGAGTCACCCTAGCCCCCTGCTTCCAGCCCCTCCTGACTCTAACCTGCTTCCCGAATCACTGTGGCTCCCAGGACCTGGGCCCTGTTTTCCTAAAGCCTAACTTTTCAGCTGTTTCCTGATTTCAACGTTTCATGTTCCCAAACTGGCATGTGTGCCCACCCATCAAGCACCCTTTTAAACTTCCTCACCATCTTTCGCTTACATCGTCCTACAGTCTGGAATTGATTTGAAAACATTTGCAGAACTACACTGAGTTGTTTTATCCACATGCTCTCACTGAACACCACCTTCCCCTAACAAATCCTTTTACTGCTACCTTATGGATAAAGAATCTCAGAGAAGCTAATGAACTTGCCCAAGTCCACACCTAGGAATTGGTGGAACTGAATTTGAATCCACACCTTCTGACTCCAAAGTGTGAGCCTTTAACCCCAATAGACCACCTCCTGCCTCTGACCTCCTCTGCTCCTCTCCAGTCTGGCTAGCAAGCCCAGAGGGAGAAATACGTTTTAAAAAAATCACTGGGCATAGCGACCACAAACCGCTGGTCTGAACCCACCCCTCTCCCTTTCCATTCCACATCACTAGCATTGTCCTCACATCCTTCACTGGGTCCCCAGGGCCTATGGAGCTGCGATAACACCTCACACGGTCCCACTCCTTCCACAGCCACCGTGCTCCCGTTTCCCCAGAGCTGTCCTGGCACCTCGAGCCCAGCTGCACATTCCCATCACCTCCCTTAGGCACGTGCAGCTCCCTCTTCCAGGGGAGCTCGTCTCTCTCAGTGATTCCCTCTCCCCTCAAACCCAGAACCAAGGTCGCCCTGTGGGAAGCTGACCCAGACACCCCGTGCACTCTGTACCCATCTCTACGGTAATACCACATTATGTTAAAACTATTCCCGTACATGAATGGGGTATTTCTCTCTCCACACTAGCATCTTTGGGAAAAAAGATCATGGCCTATAAATCTTAGCTCTTATCCCAGGCTGACCTGTTAGTCTTTTGATAGGCACTTCTGATACATGCCAGTTAAACAAAAATCATTAACGGCATAAAACTAAGAACACTTTAGATTTACAGAGTTTTACAAGTTTCAGAGTGCCCCCAAACCATTATCTTATATGACCCTTAGAGCAATCCTGGGAGATTATCCTCATTTTATAGGCCAGAAATTTGGCTAAGAGAGAGCACACAAATAGTGACAGAGCTAGACTACTGACAACCCTCCAGCCATCACTATCTTCTGTAGGAAAGAACTCTGAGGATGATCTCAGTCTCTTCCTGGGCAGATTCACCCATTCAATACGTATTATTCCCTCTCCTAGCGGTTCTTAATCTTGGCAGCACGGTACAGGGAGCTTTAACTAGCCCAATGCTGAGGCCATTCCTAGAGCAATTAAGTCAGTATCTCTGGAGGTGGCACCCAGGCCACAGACCTTTTTAAAGCTCCCAGGGAATTCCATTATGGAGCAAAGGCCAAGAATCACTGTTCTAAGCAAACCCTTCAACTTGAATTTCACCTCCCAGACTAGGCTACAGTTTGCTTCTTGTGAGTGTCTTGATGTCCCATCTGCCAGGGCTTGATCAGCTTGGAAGGGCTGAGAATCAACCTCTCAGATCCGTCAGGAGCCAAGGGCAGATGGGCGAGGGCCAGGCTCTCCCAGGCCCCGTTATGTGTCGTGGGCAGATGACCCACCTTCACACATTAGCTTCTTAAGCTACATTGTTGCAAAGCTCAAATGACACTGGGTACAAAGAGATCCTCTGAAACTGGGACTGTCTGGTCAACCTGACTGCTTCTCCAGGGCACCAAGCCACAGACAATACAACAATGCAACATGGACCACTGCCATTAGCTCTCTCTGGCTTCACATTTTAACGTAATCGAATCAAAGCATGTTTTCAACTTTTCACAAACTATAAAACAAACAAAAAGAGGTGTACAAAAGGAATTCCTACCGAGACATCTCAGCTAGATAAGCTATGGCATACATTCAGAGCACACAGTGAAGTAAGTTTTAAAAATAACTTAGTCATTTAGGAGAAACCAAAATCACTTACAGATGTCACAGTGTGTGCAGTGAACAGTTTAAATCCACTGACAATCTGTTCCCATAACTATTTTTCAAATGCCTTTCAGTAAAAAAAGCCCAATATTTCTTATTAGCAGCTCCTTTCCATTAACCTTCAATGCTCTGCGACTTAAAATTAAACTTGAGGTTTTTATTCCTTTGAAGCTAACATTGTTAAGAATTTAATTAAAAATTCAAGAAAATTTAAAAGCTTTTTAAAGGGAAAGAGAGGGCTGGCCCCGTGGCTTAGCAGTTAAGTGTGCGTGCTCCGCTACTGGCGGCCCGGGTTTGGATCCCGGGGCGCACCGACGCACCCCTTCTCCAGCCACGCTGAGGCGGCGTCCCACATACAGCAACTAGAAGATGTGCAACTATGACATACAACTATCTACTGGGGCTTTGGGGAAAAAAAGGAGGAGGA